GGGGGGGTGGGCGGTGTGTGCAGGCCCCCACCGGAGGTGGGGGTCACATCGCGTTAGTCCCCAAAGCCAGGGAGGCTGGCATGCACCAGGCCGAATTAAATGTCTGAGATAGTCTCTGGGGCAAAAGACACTTTTCACACCATCTTTGCCTGTCCAACTCTTTATTCAAGGAGTGTAACAAACACCAGAATAGTCATTGAAAAATAAACACAAAGTAATCAGTCAACATGTGTACAGTGATTGATTTATGTCCTTGCTAAAAACCAAGGTGGTTTTAACAAGCACAAGTTGTCATAGCTGGAGATGAAAACAAGCTGGGGCCACAGACAAACTGGAACTGAAGATGAGATGGAAACAAGCTGCAGCCAAAACTGAACTGGAGCAAGACCTGAAAAAAAACAGGTACAGAAACAATGACCTGAAGCTACAAACTGGAGCTGTTCACAGGCTGAACCAGAAACAACCAACCTACAAGGAGCAGGAGTTGAATCTGGACAAAGCCATCCAGGAGCCAGACCTGAGGAAAACAGGAGCCCAAACCAACCAGCCAAATAACAAATGGGGCCCAACCAACCAGCCCAAAGCCATGCTGTGCTGGAGCTGTGCAGTCCCCGCAGCATCTCCCGGCACCCCGGCTTCTTCCTGGGGTTCTAGCACTCCTCCTTCTGTCCCTGTGCAGGTTGATGGGGGACAATCAGCTCCTGGCAGCACAGCCTGGCCCAAAGAGTCCCTGGGGCTGCTGCCCTGTAAGCCCTGCCGTTTCCCAGGCACTGGCAGCTCTGCCTGACCCCTGAGAAGCAGCAACCCAGCACCGCACACACAAGATGGGAGGGGAGGGGGAAACAGGGACAGGACACCAGAAATGTCCCACTTCTCCTTGGAAGAGTGGGCAAGAGCCAGGATCTGGCCAAAAACCCACCTGCCCTGAGCAGCAGCAGCAGCCCCAAACTGGGAACAGGGCCAGCACCACACCAGTGCGAGCAAGGTCTGGGCCAAACCCCTACAGTGCTGGCTCCCAATGCCCCTCACAGCCATGGCCCCCCAAAACATGCCACCCAGCCCTGGGCAGCACTGCCCCTCCAGCGCTGGGACCCCCCTTCCCGCCCTGGGCCCTGCAGGGAGCTCTGCCAGGGGACAGCACCCACCCTCCCCATCCCTCAGCTCCCTGGTCTCACTGGGCACTCACCGCCCGGGGGCTACACTCCTTGCCAGGTGCTGGGATGAGCCCTCCCCAGGCGTCAGCTCAGGCACAGCCACGCAGCATCGCCGGGGCCGCCTCCCACGGGACCGGCAGCACCGGGACAGCCGCTGCTCCCTGTGCCCGGCCAGGCCGGCTTCGCCTTCTCACCGACAGGGCTGCAGGAGATGCTGCAGGTCCCTGGAGAGTCCTCTGCTCACACTGCAGCGTCATTTGAGCTGAAAAAGTAGGTTTTAGGTAAAACCATGGCTTCAAACAGAGTTCAGAGCCACCCCAAGGCCCTGCCATGGGAGTGACCTAATGCTGCCAGCTCCAGTCCTTGGGCATCTCCCTGTGCAGATGATGCTGAAGGGCTGAAACCCAGTGGAAACCAGTCCCTGCTGGTCTGAACTCTCCCCAGCTCTGGCAGAGCCAGTGCCAGGCTGGAGGAGCCTGTCCTGCCGGCAGTCACTCTGGGCAGAATCTGTGGAGAAGACATCAGCCAGTGCCTGCATCAGAGGGAGGGAGGCCCCCCAGCCCCCAGAAGTCCCCTTCTCCTCCAGCAGACATGGCTGGCAGCCAGGCCCAGGAGCCGCCAGCATCATCAAGCTGGGATAGATCCTGTGGTGGAAGTGGGGAGCTGCCAGGAACCCCCCAGCCCTACAGGCCGTGCTGCAGCTGCTGCTCCCTGATCCCAGAGGGTTGGTGCTGAAACACACCAGGAAAATCACCGGGCCCAAGCCAGGATCCCATGGAGGGGTCCCACACCAGGGGAGAGACCGCTCACCTGCAGTTTCCCCATGTGCCTGCCCCAGAGTGGAGCAGGAACTGGGCACTGAGAACTGGATACCTGGCTGGGAAGGGGGGCCCAGCACCTTCCAGCAAACCCAGAACTGGTGTGTGCCGACCAAGGAGAGGCTGGGATGCAAATTATGGAGTCATGAAATACTTACTCGTGCACATGAGGCACCCCAGCCCAACCAGGGCACCTCAACCGTGGGTTCACCCGGGGTTCTCACACCCTTCAAACATTCAGACCCAACATGCTTGACTCATCGCTGGCACCCACACTACCAAACACTGAGCACAGAAAAACTTGGCAAAACAACTCTATTTCTGCAGAATTCTTGCTGCTTACTTTGTTGATCCAGACACCCTTGGAGCCTGCCTTGCCTGAGTTGCTTCTCTGTGATGCCAGTCCATGCTAGGAGGGGTTCAAACCATGTCCGAGGTGCTGGGATGCCAGTGTTACCTCGGGGTGTCCTTTATCCTTCAGGGACAGCTCCCAGCTTCCACGAATCAAAGTCCTTATGTTCAGGGACAGGCTGTCCTTTAGTTGTCTTACTTCAGTGTGAACACTGCCCACGTTTCCAGTAAACTCCACCACCCCATCATGCTGTGGTGCACAACGGGAACTAGTACAGAGCAGCAAAGTTACTATGTTTTCATATGATAAAGACTCACTGATGCCATCGCTAGGGACCCGCTTTTTCTTAACAGCCCCTGGGCAGGGGGCACGAGCAGCACATGCTGCTGCCAGAGCCGCCCCCATGGCTGCCCCTGACGCTGCTCCAAGTGAGTCCTGCAGGGAGGTGTCAGCCCCTGGATCTTTGGCCAAGGGACCTGTGGTAGCCCCAGGCCCCCAGGAGCTCTGCTCCCCTCTCCCGTGTCCTGAGCAAAGTCACCACAGCCGCCACCAAAGTCCCCATTCACCAGCAGTGGGAACAGCCAGGGCATCAGCAGGTTTCCCAGAGTCACAGCTTTCCTGATGCTGGTGGCTCTGTTAGTGAGCAGTCCTCGTGCCCGGCACACAGCAGAGCCGTGCAGGCAGCATGGCGATGGCAGCACAGGCAGCTGGGAAACATCGTGGCAGGCAGCCAATGCCACACCTGGTCACTCGTGGGCTCCTAGCAAAAACCCAGCGGTTGAGAGAGTGCAGGGTCAGGCAGATGGATGGGAAGAGCTTACAGAAGGACACAGGACAATAAAACATTCTGTTTTCAGGGGGGATGTCACGTCTTGCTCTGACAAGGGAGACAAGTGACTTAGATTTGTAAATCCCCAATGGGGTGGACAACAGTGAGACAGGTCTCAAAGTCCAGTCATTTATTAACTTCTCACAGTGTACTAACTGGATACACAATAATTGGCTAAGCATGTAATGGATTATACCAAGCAATATAGTACACGTTGCATCACTTAATAGCAGTGAAGGAAAAAGCCAAAAAAAGGAAAGGAGGGAGATAGAGATTACTAGTCCAGGTTTTAGCATTGGTCCCATCCAAGTTCATCAGGGATGCATCCCTCTTCTTCACTTCTTCATGTCTTCTTTTTCCTTTCTTCCCCCTCCTCTCCCCTACCAACTCATACACACTTTCCTTGGGTCTGTCCCCAAGGTTAACCCGCATACCTACATATCCCATGTATGGGGAGGGGTAAGGGGTAACTCTCTTTGGGGAGTTACAAGTTGTCTCTCACGGGGCGGGGGGAAGAAAAGCATGGTAAAAACCGACACACAAATATAACAACTGCTGTACCAAGTCAAAACTTTAACCTTAAGTTATAACTTCACACCTTTAACCATAACCCGTGCCTAGCGAGCACACATAGGGGACTGGTAAACTGCTGCTTAAACACACCAGCTAATAAACTGCATTAACCAAAGGGAAACAAAAATGCACATAATGACACCCTTAAACTCACCAGAACTCCTGCAGAAAGGTTGTTCTCATTTGGGTGACCCAAAGAACCACTGCAGCAGTTTTGGTGCCAGCCCCACGGCCCCCAGCAGCTCAGGGGACCTCCAGCCCTGCCCAGAACCAGCTGCAGCTCCTGGGGTTTTGAAGGAAGAAACAAAAACTGTTCTTCAAAGTAACTGCCAACAGCTGAAGCTGAGAACCAGAAGCAACTGCTGACAAACCCAGGCAACAGGTGCAGCCAATGCAGGTGCCTCTCCTCCTGCCTCCTCTTACTCACAGTGACCAGGGCAGTAACGAGCATCTTGTCTCATTTCCCCTCTTTGGAGAACCCCAGGAAATTCAGACAGTCCACCAGCCATCCACTCTGGGGGTTTGAATGCCAAGACCGTGCCCTGATGTCCAGGGAACACCCCGCAGTGCAGCCCAAACCATCCTGGCCTGGCCGGGGCTGGAAATGGGTTCAGTTCGAGCAGTCAAGGGCAAACGCCTCACTCTGGGATCGTGGCAGATCCAGCAGTACCACCGTTACACGGGGACCATAAAATCTGCACCAAAAATGCATTAACTCACCAAGGGAAACCTCAGAGAGGGCTCCCAGCATTACAGCAGAGCCTGTGCCCACGCGACCCGCCAGTCCCCAAAGCTCCCCCGGCACGGCAGCACCCCCAGCCGTGGCCCGCACCTCAAAGCCCCCCGTCCCTGAGTCCTCACGGGGGGACACCCATGTCCGGGCCCGTCGCCCCCGCGGGGACGTGCAAGGGCAGCGGCTTCCTGCGAGGCGGCACCTGCGCAAGGGGACCCCGCACCCCGGGCTGAGCCCCACGTCCTCATATCCCAGCCAGGCCTCGACACCCTCTAAGCTCCAACTCGGGGCGAGCCCCAACACCCCCCACCACCGGCACCCCCTCAGACCCAGCCTGCGTGGTCCCCCCGTCCAAGCCGCGGCCAGCACAGTGACCCCCCAGCCCTGCCTAGGCCCCGTTCCCCTCTCACCGCAGCCGGGGCACAGCGGAGCCCCCCGGTCACCCACAGACGGGCTCCGCGAAGCCCTCCCCAGGCAGCGCGTCTCTCTCCGCCCCCCGCTCGGGTCGGGGGCGCCCCCTTGGGGCG